AAGGCAGCCGCACACTGGTCCGATGATCACAGAGCGAGAGACAAGAAAGGCAAGGCTCACCAAGCCATCCATCTCTCCGCCCCTCAGTCAATCCCACCTGCGTTTATCAGCCAGGCTGGCACAATAAACTGTCTCAGCATGCGTTCCCATATTTATTGTAGCACAGTGCAAAATAGCAAGAAACCAGAAGCAGCCTAAATGCCCAACAGTAGAAGGGCTAAACAAACTATGGTACATATTCACAATAGAATGCATCCCAAAGAAACAGTGATAAAGCACGAAACACTGCATGGAATGGAAGGACCTGGAAAGCATTATGCTGAGTGCGGTTAGTCATCACAAAGGGACAGATACGGTATGAGCCTACTACTATAAAGAAAAATACCAAATAAATAAATTTTAGAGACCAATTCCCAAACAAAGGGGAACCGTACCTCATCCGTCTTATATACACAGCTTAAGAACCACCTGGAAAGAGGAGACCTCGCATCAGCTGGGCTAACTCCTTCAAGGGGTGGGAAATGGGCGACGATTACCCACTTGAGCCATATGGGACTACTGCATGTGGCAATTGGCTTTCGGTTTGTGCATAATTGTATTCACCATTTCTCTTATGTAGCCAGAGGAGGTCGGATGTGACTTTCACACTCTTTGTGCAGAGGTTGAGTTTTTTTTTTCATTGTTAAAGATTCTGAATATGTCGCATTCATCATTCCTGAGGCTTTTTTATAGTATTTGACTTGGATTCTCTGAAGTCCCTGGGTGGTACAAATAGTTAATAGCTCAGGGACTGAGAAATTGGTGATTTGAATCTACACACCTGTGCCTCAGAAGAAAGGACTGGCAATCTACTTTTTTTAAGTGATTGAAAACTCTTATGATCCATTTAAATTTGTTCTACATTTTAATATTTTCTACTTTCTTTTCTATTGAGGTTTTTATTTCTTTTACTTTGTTGTTCTTGTTAGTTTTTGTTTTTTTGAGTTTTTAAAAATGTTTTTCCGTATATGAAATCCAGGATTGGTAAATCTGTAGAGACAGTAACTGGATAAATGGCTCCTTGGGGAGAACCACAAATGGCAGGGAAGACTAGAGAGAAATGGAGAACTAGTAATGATGAGCACAATGAGGGAGAAAATGTTCTAAAACTGATTGTGGTCATTATTATACAACTCTTCCTCATGTAATTGAACTATTGAATTGTATGATATGTGAATTAGAGCCCAATAAAACTGTTGGGGAAAGAAGGAAACACATATTATACACAAAGAGAAAACCGGACTAAAAATCAAAGGATGGGGGAAAATATATCAAGGTAATGCCAATCAAAAAGGTGCAGGAACAACAATATTAATTTCTGATAAAACAGACTTTGAGGCAAAATCCAACATAAGAGACAAAGAAAGATATTATAAAATGATTAAGGATCAATTAAATAAGAGGGCGTAATAATAATACCTGTACACCCAAATGAAAAGTCTCAAAATATATCAAACACTAACAGAATTGAAGAGAGAAACAGAAGACTACAACAATAATAGGAGATCTTAATATATCGTTTTCCATGAAGGACAGACTAACTAGAAAGAAACTCAACAAAAACATAGACGAGCAAAGTAACACAACCAATCAATTTGACCTCATAGACATACACAGAACACTTCACCCAACAGAACAATATGCATTTTTTCCAGTTCACATGGAACACTCTCCAGAAGAGATTATATGTTACGTCACAAAATAAGCCTCAATAAATTTTAAAGCCTCATAATATAGCATCTTTTTAGAGCCCTTTTAATCAACAGTAAGATGATTAAAAGGGAAAAAAATCAAATGCTTCGAAAGATAACCACTGTTAAAATTTTGGTTCAAATCCTGACAGGAATTTTGTTCATTCATATACATAAATAATATATCCAATGTATATATTTATATTCTCGTTTTTAAATTGTTTATTATATCGTACATACAGCTTTTTAAAAAATCAACATACTGTATCTCTAACACATTCAAATGGGATTGTTGTTCTTTGTTTGATTGGGTTTTATTTTAGTTATAATTAATGTATCATACCATTCAATAATTCAATCATATCAAGAGGTATTGTACAATCATCTCCACAATCAACTTGTGAACCTTTTCTTCCTTCTTTTACTCACTGATGTTGACTCCCCATTTCCTCCACCCTCCCCTTGTGGGTCCCCATGCAATCCTCAATCCAACTATGGGTATCTAATTCCACTTATCCCAGGTTCCCTATACAGACAAATATACAAGCAAGGACCCAGCAACAATCGCCATATAGAACAAGAAAGACCTCAATCTGTGAGACAGCAGAGAATATTAACAATTTAGAGTAAATTCACATTAGGTCCAGAGGGAGATCAAATTAAAAAGTGTTACAATCCAGTCTAAGTACAGCTGCTAAAATCCACTTTACAGTGCTTTTTGTCTGATATACGAATATTAACATCCAAGCCTATGGGCATTGAGGATTCACTGGAGGATTTACTCAATCCCCATAGGGACCCTGCTAATGCATTTGGAGCTACCACTATCATCCATAGCTTTCCCCAAACCAAGTATTCAGAATTTGGGCACTGGTCCCATTCCTTCCTCCAGGTTTGGATCTTGCAATCCTTGGCTCACACAGGCTGCTGTGCTTCTTCCATGTGGACTTCGCTGATTCCTCATTTAGAGAGCTAATTGTTCTGAGACAAGCCTTTAAAACCCAAGACACTTTTTCATGATAGCAAGGCACCTGATTTCTTCACTATACTTTACTATGGCACCCATGTGTTCAGTGATCGCCTCATGAGGGCAAGTATTAGGCAGGGCCCAATGGCATTGTTGTTGTTAGTTGTTGTCAATTCCAAGACAGGGCAACCCCTTGGGTGCAGAGTAGAACCACTCCAGAGAGGTTTCACAGTTGTGACCTTTGGGACGCAGATGACCAGGTCTCTCTTCTGAGGAGCCTCTGGATGGGATCAAGCTACCAACCTGTTAGCAAGCCATGATGGCTGAACTATTTGTACAACCCAGAGACTGCTGCCAGTCTTTAATTATATTGTAATGCTACAGTTTTCGTAATATTTCATCATAGGTATGTACCATCACTTATTGCTTCTAGCTAATGATGAATAATCATGCAGATTTTGTATCCTTATGTATTTTTGTATACATTTCTATATCTATAGGGCTCATTCCTAAAAAGCAAAACTAGCGTACCTATGACTGATTCATTCTCCATGGTGAAAGTCAACAGAATCCACAAATTAGAAATAAATGTTAGAGGAATCAAAGAAAACAGTAATAATTACCTGACAAGGTAGCATCAAATCCCGTGTTTTCTATGGCTTCCCTCAAGGTTTCTGGAGAAATTAGTAGAGGATCATACTCAACAATTCCATTACTATTTATAAGTGAAACTCGTATGGATTTTACACCTGCCTTTTTAGATATGACCCCTTCAATAGACTGCACGCAAGAATTACAAGTCATGCCACCAATGTTTATCACAGTTTCTTGAGTCAGAGGCTGGGTAACTATGTTCAAAGGCATTTTTTGATGAGATGAGTTGAAAAGAGAATTTTGAGTATTCTCAACTTCACTTGTAATACTAACACTATATTGCCCCGGTGATATTGCCTCAATTGCCTTTCTCAGAGTTTCAAGAGTGACTAAGTTTGCATTGTACTTTATAACGGCAGACCTATTCTCTAAAGAAACTGCTATGCTACTTATAAATTGGAGTGTAGATAGAGTACTTTCAATATTTGACACACATGATTGACAGTGCATGCCATCTATAATAAAAGTGGCTGTTGAATCATTGGTATGTGATGGACTCCCCTGCTGTGATTCTTCCGAGGATTTGATAGGTGTGTTCTTCAGACGTTCCACATCAATCGTTCCCAATGTAAGGTACTTAGGCTGTTTTTTGATGACTGCTGGAAAGCCCACAACTTCAATCTGCTTTTTTATTTCCTCTGCTGTGATAAGATGAGGGTGATAAACAATAGTAGCTTCTTGATTGTCCAAGGAAACTAGTGAAAAAAAGAAAAATGCTCATTCGAATCAGTTATTCCTGGGTCACTTAAGAAAACATTCTGGACACCAAAACAAAACTACAGAAATTGTTTCCCTCTCACACTTGCCATCATCCTTTATTAAAATAATTTTGTTCCAGTCAGAAAATATTACTGATATATCGAAAAAAATCAAACCCATTGTGGTCAAATGGATCCCAGATCCCAGTGACCTATAGCACAGAGTAGAAGTGCCCACAGGGGTCCTGAGACTATAAATCTTTACCTAAGCAGACTGCCACACCTTTCTACCATAGAACAACTAGTGAATTTGAACCACCCTCCTTTTGGTTATCAACTGAGTGTTTAACCACTGTGCTACCATGGCTACTTTTGTTATCGACATAGAATGAAGAAAAATAAACGATGCAAGGGAGCACCATAAAGTGCATGGAAAATAGACTTAAAAGATAATGATCATTTCCCACACACTTTCTGAAGCTCCCTCATAAGATCACTGTAGCTATGGTCTCCAAGTCTGTACTCGTCTGAGTAGAAATACAGAAATAACTAAGACCCCAAACATGTTGCATTAATAAACTTGAACTCCACAAACCATAATCACAATAGTCTTTTCTGCTAAACTTCCGTGTGACACTGGCTTAACCTTTCATTATAATCATTACGTTTACTTTACTTCAAACTTCAGTTAAGCAGTAAGCATTCTAGTCCCATCAATCTAAAACCCAGGCTTAAGAAAAAAGCAAAAAGTTAATGCAAAACAAAAATCAATAAAATATATTACCTTTAATTCGCTGAACACCTTGTAGTTTCCCAATTTTTCCTTCAATGGTGCTAGTGCATGAGTGGCAGGTCATCCCTTCCACCTTCATTTTCAGCATGATTTCACCTGCTGGAGCCATACTGTTATCTTCACAAGTTCCTGGCTTTTTCTCCAGAGTTCCATTATCTAGACTGATACCTGGAACCAGTTCTATTATCTGATTGGCATTCACTATCGAAGGGATTATTGTCACCACTGCAGTTCTCTGCTGAGGAGAAATTTTAATGCCTGTCACACCCTTGGTCTTGAGCAATGTGCTTTGGATCTGGTCCCATGGAGGAGCAAATGAAGTATTAACAGTCAGAAACACAGTATCAGTTAAAACAGGGAAGGGGTTAAGACTGTGGAGAGAGGCATCGAAGCCCATGTCATCAATAGCTTCTTGTAGGGTCTTTGGAGTCTGTACTTTACAGTCATAAATAATCGCTGCATTTTTTTCTTCCAGGGAAACCTTTGGAAAAGAATTTTCAGAAATCAGATTAGTTAAATTATAACACAGGACTTAAAAATTATCAATCTTCGTACCACATTTAAAAAGGATGAAATAAAGAGCTCAAGCTAATAAGGGTCTCTATTACACTTTCATCTTTACTCCTTTCTTTAGAAAAGAAACACATATCATCTTATTTAATTATAAGAATAGTAAAGTTATATTTAGGCATATGTGACACTGGTGCTAGTTAAGTATCTGAAACAGGTTCACAGACAAACACATTCTTGAATTTCACAAGAGTATAAACTCTTTTTTTTAAAAAACATTTTATTAGGGGCTCATACAACTGTTATCGCAATCCATACACACATCAATTGTGTAAAGCGCATTTGTACATCATTCTCAAAACATTTGCTCTCCACTTAAACCCCCGACATTAGGTCCTCACTTTTCCCCTCCCTCCCCGCTCCCCCCTCCCTTATGAGCCCTTGATAGTTTATAAATTGGTATTTTGTCATATCTTGCCCTGTCCGACGTCTCCATTCACCCACTTTTCGGTTGTCTGTCCCCCAGGGAGGAGGTCACATATAGTTCCTTGTAATCGGTTCCCTCTTTCCTACCCATTCTCCCTTTAATTACTCTAACACTTCAACCTCCACTAATTCAAATAATTACATTGGAAATAGGATCAACTGTAAAAAATAAAGGTGATATAAAGGTTAATCAAAATAACTCTATTGGAAGAAAAGGTATAAACATGATACATTATGAGTAATGGCAGTATTCATTGGATTTTGTAGTATATACTTTGATTTTTAGCAATAAACCAATATACAGGGTAAGTCAAAAAGTATTGAACTAGGGCTCTAATTTGTACATGTATGGGTTTATTCTAAACAATACATGTTTAAATGTGTCTTTGTGATCAGCAAATGGTTGCAGGCAAATTATCTGTCATACACTTGGCTTCATCTTGTTAGGGTGTCTTCAAGAAACAAATCCAATCAAAACAGTGGCTTTTGAGAGAATCTCGTGGGAAGTTAAATTCAAGGCAAAGAGGTTAGCTCAGAAGGTTATGGTAACTGTTTGGTGGGGGGGGGTGATAGATTTTCTCAAAAGACACAAGACAATCACAGAACCTTATTAGAAGCAAGTTTTAAGACAACGGGAAATGGCATCGGGAAGAAAAGGTCAGGAAAGATGTACGAGAATTTGTTTCTATGAAGGAACGGTACGTACTCATTCTTCATGGCTGGCTGTACAAATTTTTTTCAATTAAAAGCTTTACCTCCTCTACCCAACAGCCCTAAACTTGCCCATTTGAATTTCTTTCTGTTCCCCAAACTAAAATACATTTAAACTGAACATGATTTGAGACCCTTGAGGATGCCCAAACTGCCATTTTAACATAGTGTAAATCAACAAGTGCAGAATTCTTCAGAGAAGGGTTAGTGATATGGAAACACTGACCTCAAAAATGTATACGACTATATAAGGGATCTGTCAAGAATCCATAGTTTCATATCTTTATATTTTGCTTAATAAAAGGTTTCTATGATCTTATAGCACGATTTATTACTTGCCTTTGTATTCACCACAATAAAAATGCAAATAAGTACTACAGAATAGGAAATTTCATTCAAAATTGCCTACAATAAGGTTGCTATGAGTTGGAATCAATAGTTACATAATTAAATCTTCCACTTACTTTAATGAAAATATCTTTTAACTTTTAATCTTGCACCACTAAAGTCGATGATTTCCTGATTCCGAAAATTGCTTTACATAATTCAAACACTCATACTAAAAGCCAAAACAGAAAATGGATCAATGTTTTACCCAGCGGTTAAGGGCTGAAGGAAGAGTAACAATAAGGATGCAGACTGAAGTTTTAGGGGTGATGAGACTACTCTGTATCCTGATTATAGTGATGTCGAAACAAATCTATACATGTGCTAAAATGCTCAAAGCCAATGTGGACGGTGGTTGGCATACTGGGCAGGCTATATACTGAACATGTGCATCATCATAGAATTTTCTATTGAACAGTGCTGCTCTAGGCACCTTTACAGTTGTTAGAGTGCTGTTAACTTGGCTTCAACTCATAGCAACCCTGTGTACACGAGAATGAAACACTGCTCGTCCTACACCATCCTTCTCATTATTGTTATGTATAAGTCAATTGTTGTTACAGTACTGATCCATCTCATCAAGGGTCTTCTTCTTTTTCATGGCTCTTCTACATTATCAAGCATGATGTCCTTTTCCAGGGATGAGTTTCTCCTAATAACATGACCAAAGTATATGAAACGAGATCTCCCCATCTTTGTTTCTAAGGAGCATTCCGGCTGTAGTTCTTTCAAGAAAGCTTTATTTGTTTTCCTGACACCCATATCTTCCATGTTTCCATCATGAAGATGCATAATGAGCAGGGCCATGTCATAAGAACTAATTGTGGGTCCCAAATCCATTCCTATATATGTCTTATATATGCCTATGATTCACCAGAGATATCTTTGTTTTTTATATTAGATAGCATTATCAATCATCTCCTCTCCCTGGAGCAGAGGGTCCTTCTGTTTAGTGTAGTTGATTTAGCCCATGGTAATGTATTTAAAGCACAGTTGGAAAAGGAGATTAAACAAGTATAGGCTGGCAACAAATCGCAATACAGTATCACTATCAGAGTAATCCTGTCCACATGTCTCTTCTGACATCTACTTTGAGCTTCATTTCCTTTCTTGTCTTCTTTATGAACTTTTATTTTCTTCATATATGATGCACTTTTTTAACTTGCAACTTTTAGTTATTGTGTTAAGCAGATACATGACCAGATGGAATCTCATTATAAAGAGTCAAAATCGTCGGACAGGGCAAGATATGACAAAATAACAATTTATAAACTATCAAGGGCTCATGAGGGAGTGGGGAGCGGGGAGGGAGGGGAAAAATGAGGACCTAATGTGGGGGTTTTAGAGGGGGAGAAAATGGTTTTGAGAATGGTGTACAAATGCGCTTTACACAATTGATGTGTGTGTGGATTGCGGTAACAGTTGTATGAGCCCCTAATAAAATGTTTAAAAAATAATAATAAATCTGGTACGCAAGATTCTGAAAAAATAAATAAATAAAGAGTCAAAATGTAGATATCACCCTTTTTGAACAAATATGGGTTCTTGATCGATCTAAATTAATGTAGGCCAGGCCAGCCACTTCCCCTGCCCCTCCAGGTCATTCTGAGACAAATCAGTTACTGTAGTATGCATCTCTCATATACAAAACCAAACTCACTGCCATTGAATCAATGTTGACTCGCAGTCACCCTATGGGATATGGTAAGACTGCCTGTCAGTTTGCAAAACTCTGCTTATAGATGCAGAAAGCCCCACCTTTCTCCCATGGATCAGGCTGGTGGTTTCGAACTGTGGACCTTGAGGATTACAGCCTAATGCAAACCACTAAACTACCAGGGCTCCTCTCTCAATATAAAGATATGTATAATGTTACTGTAAAGCTACAATTATCATGCCAAAACAGGAATTATCAACACTTCCTTAATATCTTCAACATTCATTCCTTGATAAAATTTCCTGTACTGTCTCCTAAATACTGTTTTCTTCAACTCAGGAGGCCTACAGTCTCAGGCATTAGAGTTGATTGATGTGCCTGTTAAACAAAACCAAAAACCCACTGCCAACTAGTCGATTCCAACTCATATCGACACTACATACGATAGAGTAGACCTGCTCCTTAGAGTTTCTGAAACTACCAGGTTTGTCTTTTGAAAAACCATTTTTTTCTGGTATTGTTATTCCCATTCCTGTTCCTGGATTCCATGTGTCGTGAGCTCTTGTCTCTTATCTGTACCTGTGCACATGCTCTGGTCTAGTCCAAAGTGAGAGGTAGCACTGGGGTCAAGATTGTGGGGGGTGAGGAAGCCTCAAGGAACCATAGGAATATTGTGTGTTTTTTCGGTGTTCTACTGTGCCCTGGTTGACTCGTCCCCTCCCTGTGACCCCTGGCTCAATAGAAAGTAAACGTCTAGAAAAGAATGATGGCAACATATGCACAAATACACTTGATACAATTTATGTATGGATTGTTATGAGTTGTAAGAGCCCCCAACAAAACTATATTTTAATAAAAATATTCTTAATTGTAAATTTGGTGAGAGTTCACATTTCAGATAATCAATTTTGTAATCAACAATTTAAACTACTTATCAAAATCCACCATAGCTACCCCCATATATTCTATGATTCCTCTTCTCCTTTCTGTAGAAGATACTACCTACCCCTTAAGCAAAGTTAACATCTGTAGCTTATTCTTTCATCTTCCCTCCCTTACCCACTGTCCTTGGTAACCATCAAAGTCTGTTTCCTTAGGTATGAAAATCTTTGTCTTGAGGTTTTTTTGTTATAAGAGTGGTCTCGTTCAATATTTGTCCCCATGGGATTGACTATTATTAGTCCTGCATAATGTTCTATAGGCCCATCCATGCCATGAGGTGCTTCATTGTTTCATCATTATTCTTAAGCAATACATAGTATTCCATGTGTGTATTTATCAAAAGTTTCTTTATCTGTTCTTCTACTGATGAGCAGTTAGGTTGTTTCCGTCTTCTTGCTATTGTGAACAGTGCTGAAATGAACATGAGTGTGCATATGTCTGTCCGTGTTATGGCTCTGAATTCTTTAGAGTATATACCAAGCAAAGGAATTGCTGAGTCATATGGGATTTCTAGTCCCATAGAAATAGCACCATAATGCTTGACACAGTGGTTGAAAATTTTCACACTGCCACCAGTGGTAACTGAATGTTTCAAATTTCTCCACAGCACCTACAGAAGACAGTGGAAGTCCAAAATCCATTTTCAGGGGCCACACATGGATTAAGCCACAAGGAAATCCCTTCAGATCATAGTTGAGGGATGTGAAGAGCCCTGTTATCAGACAGAGGGCACTATAAAGCGATTATGGCAGATGTAGGTAAGTTAAAATGAAATATCTTATCACTTG